AAAAAAAAAAAAAAAAAAAAAAGAAGAAAAGAAAAGAGGAAGGGAGGGAAGGTAGGAAAGAATGAAACATGGGCAATAGGAAGCCTCATTATTTTGGAATTCAAAAGGGAGTTTATGAATTACCATTCATTTAACAAATATTTAATGAGCACCTATTATATACTAGCTGGGCGATACCAGTGAACCCTGCTATAGGTAACTGTGAAATTACCAGTGGAGGAACAACCCATAAGAAAATGTCAGTGGGTGATCAGTGCTATGCTGAAAACCGAAGTAGTGGAAGGGGGAGCAGTGAGGGCAGAGTGGGGTTTCTTGTATATGCCGGTTGTTTGGGGAAGGCTGCTCTGATAAGCTGGCATGGGAAACAGTCCAGGATAAGGGAGGGGTTTCCCCATGCAGCTATCTGGGGGAAAAGCTTTCCAGGAAGAAGAAACAGGCAGTGCAAAGGCCTAGAGGCGGGGGGATGCTTGGCTTTGCACCAGGAGCAGCAAGGAAGCCAGCGTGGCCGGAGTAGGGGTGCAAGAGGCCTTGCCTGTGAGTCTTAATAAACATTTATAGGATTCTGATGAGACAGGAAAGCTATGGGGAAGGTCTGAGCAGGGGAGCATCTGGTTCTTACTTAAAGGAACACTCCAGTTGCTGAGGTGTGGGAGAAGAGGTAGTGGGTGGAGGCTGGGGATGGGGAGACGAGTGGGAACAGGAACTGAGGCCAGGCAGTTGGGAAACTACTGCAACTGCCCATGCAAGAGATTTTTAGCCGGAGATTGTTTAGCCGGTCTATGAGTATTTCAGGCCTCCGTAATTTCCCTGTGTCAAGCCACTAGGCCTATTGGTCTTCCACTAGACCCCGGCCCCCAGCTGCTGCCTGAGAAATGTATGTTACTTGCACTGATAAAAAATTTTTGCGGGACGGAAATGGCTTTGAGTCCCCACCCAGCTCTACGATCCTTTTCCTGGATTCGGGGAGGGCCTGCACCCGGGCTGCGGGCCTGCGACTGCGCTCCCACTGCTGACACAGCCCCGGGCCAGGGGCTGCGGATCAGCGCCGGCGTCCGGACGCAGGATTGGCGGGTCCCGCCCCGGCTGGGCCCGCAGCCCCTAGCCCGCCCTGCCCCCACCCCCATCCCCCGAACCTGGTCCCCAGCGTTCCCTCGGCTGCCCACGGCCCCGCTCACCTGCGCCGCTGCCACCGCCGCTGCTGCCGGCCGGACACCAGCGGCTTCTGGAGAGCTAGCTCTCGGTTTCGTTTTCCCCTCGGACTCCGCCTTCCCTGAAGCCGTCCTCTGCTCGGGGATTGGGGTAAATTGGCGCTGGCTCCCGAGTGCGCGCAGGAGGCACCGGCGGGCGGGCTTGGTGCCCACGTGCAGCCTCTGCGCGGCCAGAACCCGGCATACCCAACCCCAGCCCCCGCGGCTCCTGGGGCAAGTGGCGCTAGCTGCTCTAGGTTCTGGAATCAAGGGTTCCACTTACTCTTCGGTACAAACATCTAGAGTAGGGTTGGGAAGATGGGTATTACCAGCTCCGTTTTACAATAGAGGAAACTGAGTAAATGAACTTGCCCAGGGTCCTGCCGCTCGTAAGTGGCAAAGCCTGTAAACAAAGTTACAGGCCCAAGTTTGGGCCTGTAAACACCAAAGCACTCCTCCCCGCTTGCAATACCACTGTCCCCTCCCCTTTACAAGACTGGGGATGAGAAGCCCAGGGGCGGGGGCATAATCTCCTTCACTCGGCCTCACCCATCCATTTATTTCTGAGCAGACACTTGCCAGCCGCTGTAAAAACACCCGCCGGCCAGGCCTGCAGTTAAAGAGAGCCCCCTGCTCCCTACAATAGTAGGAAGTTTCCTACCACGGTCAAACACCAATGGTCCTCGATTTATAGAAACCCTACTCACCTGATGGACACACTCCCAGAGTCACACAGAGTC